GCGGCGCCTGGCGGAGACCGTAGACCGGTCGCTGGAGCCTCCACTGGGTGCCAGGAGGAACCGACCCAGTGAAGCCAGGAGGGCGACGCAGCCAGATCTCCTCGTGCAGGCTGCCCTGCAAGAAAGCTGTGCTGAAGTCAAGTGAGTGAAGCTCGTAGTCGCGCTGAGCGGCTATGTGCAGCAGCACCCGAAGAGTAGTCATCTTCGGGGTGGGGGAGAAGGTCTGGAAGAAGTCTACTCCCTCTCGCTGACTGAAGCCTCGAGCAACGTAGCGCGCCTTGAAGACAGGAGGAGAACCCGGCGGCCGCTTCACCCTGAAAATCCACATGCCACTGACGATGTTCGCCCCAGGTGGGGGAACCTCGTCGACGTAGGTGCCTGTGGACTTCCAGGAAGCCATCTCTGCGTCCATAGCTGTCTGCCACTGAGAGGAGTAGGGACCCTCTATCGCCTCTGCGTAAGAGCGCGGGGTCGGGATGTCTGGTGCATCCGGGTCTCCCTCAGGGGCAACTAGCATGGACACGAGATGGGGCAAAGCAGCAGCAAAGCACTGGAACTCCTCCTGTCTGTCCTCAAGGACGTCCGTGCCAAGAGCACACTCACCCCCGACGGTCGGAGGACAGACAGACTCAGACTCAGCAACAAGGCTAGCGGCGTAGTCTAGACGACACCGGGCAGCAAAGTCTATCAACTCAGCGACCAGAGCAGACGCAGCAGAGGACTCAAAGGTAGGGTCAGTGACAACAGTAGCGAGGAGACGGGTGACAGTGGGACTGGCAGCACGACGAGAGTCAGACTCCGGATCAGGAAGAGTAGGCAGAGAGGACGCAGGAGGAGACGGCAGCGGGACACGCTGAGGAGCAGTGGAGGGATGCAGAGTCATGTAGTGAGTGCCAGGGACAGGAGGAGGACGCTCACGGGGGACACGACGACCAGTGCGAGCAGTACGAACAGGCGACGTAGGACGAGACGCAGGCTCACGACGCTCTGCAAGACCTCCTGTGGGACCAGTGTAAGGAGAGGGACCAGGAAGAGGCGAGGCAGGCGGTAACTGTGACTGCAACTGGACAGGCGGAAGACACTCTACGGAGGGAGGAGGACAAGGAGGAGGAGCCTGACCAAGAACCTGCTGAAGGAGCGGTACGAAGTACGGTCGTGGCCGCGTAGCGTCTCCAGAAGGAGCAGAGACACCAGCGCCCGGGTCCTCAGCACCAGTAGCAGCTCCACCGCCCGGGTCCTCAGTACCAGCAGCAGCTCCACCGCTCGGGTCCTCAGTACCAGCAGCAGCGCCACCGCTCGGGTCCGCAGCACCAGCAGGAACTCCACCAGCCGGGTCCTCAGCACCAGCAGGAACTCCACCAGCCGGGTCCTCAGCACCAGTAGCAGCTCCAACGTCCGGGTCCTCAGCACTAGCAGCAGCGCCACCGCTCGGGTCCTCAGCACCAGTAGCCGCGCCACCGCTCGGGTCCTCAGCACCAGCAGCAGCTCCACCAGTCGGGTCCGCAGCACCAGCAGCAGCTCCAACGTCCGAGTCCGCAGCACCAGGAGCACCACTCCGAAGACTGCAGCGCCTCGTGTACCACTCTCGGATCTGCTGGAGGGGGGGGAGCTCCCGGGCAGGAGGGGAAGCACCGCGACCAGCTCCAGCAGTACCTCTCCGGAGGCGGCAGTACTGTAGGTACCGCTCCTGCAGCCGCTGTGAGGAGAGGGCTCCTCCAGGTGGAGTACCCCCAGACTCAGCACCCCCAGGCTCCGCACCCGCAGACTCAGCACCGTCAGGCTCACTACCCCCAGGCTCAGCACCCCCAGGCTCCGCACCTCCAGACTCAGCACTCCCAGGCTCAGCACCCCCAGACGCAGCACCCCCAGGCTCAGCACCCCCAGGCTCAGCACCCCCAGCAGGACGAGAGTCAACAGCTACCTCGACAGGCTCACCCGGGTCTACCTGGGACACACCTGAGGGAGCGGCACCCTGAGGAGAGGTACTTCCTGATTGTTGTTGACGACTTCTCGCGCTACACCACGGTCTTCCCCTTGCGCACCAAGGGTGACGTCCCTGATGTCTTGATCCCTTGGATCCGCAGATCTCGTCTCCAGCTCAGTGAGCGTTTCCGCTCCGACTTCCCTGTCCTGCGTCTGCACTCTGACAGAGGTGGGGAGTTTTCCTCTGGCCTCTTGGAGGCCTTCTGTCAGCAGGAGGGCATTGAGCAGTCGTTCACGCTTCCGGCCTCTCCACAGCAGAATGGGGTTGCTGAGCGCCGCATTGGCTTGGTCATGGAGGTCGCTCGTACCTCCTTGGTTCATGCGGCTGCCCCCCACTTTCTGTGGCCGTTTGCAGTCCGATACGCTGCGCATCAGCTCAACCTCTGGCCCCGTGTCTCCTTACCGGAGACTTCTCCGACACTGCGTTGGACGGGAGAGGCTGGCGATGCGTCGCGTTTTCGGGTCTGGGGATCCCGAGCTTTTGTTCGCGACACGTCCGCGGACAAGCTCTCCCGTCGCGCTGTCCCCTGTGTCTTCCTTGGCTTTGTCCCAGACGCGCCTGGTTGGCAGTTCTACCACGCCACCTC